GGGGGTGGCGTGGGGGCCGGGCGGGGCCGGGCAGGGCGGCGCCTGCGGCCGACGCGCTCCTCTGACGACGGTCTTCCGCGCCGTTGGCGCGCGAGAGCTACCTGGCGGCAGCCGAGCTAATTAAACTGGCGCGGGTTTTTTGCGAGCGGCGGTGAGGAGTGGGGGGCGGGACAGAACGCGGTCGCGTTGCCGCCCGGGGGCTGCGGTCGTCTGCTTCGGGCAGGCGCTGATTTGGACTTTCGTTTTGTACCCGCGCGCGCGTCGGGAAAATCGGACGCCGCTGAAATAAAGGGATTTTCGTCGCAAAAATTTCAGCGTTTCGGAGTTCGATTTCCTCCCGTTGGGAACGCCTGCCACCGCCTTTTGCTACGCTATCCGATGCCTCTATTTGCAATGCAGATGTCAATTCACCTTTGCCGGGACTTTTTTTTTTTAATTTCCTGCTATGTTTTGTACTTTTTTAGTCTTCGTATTTTTTTAAAAAAAAAATACGTGTTTATTATGTTTTCTAGAAAAAAATCTCTTTTTTTATTCTATGAAAATAGTTTTTATTTATAATTCTGCACTTTAATTCAAAGTGGATGTATGTTGTTTTTTTAAAATAATGTACACATTATTTTCTCCCCTGCTTTAATTTTAATGTTATATTTGTGCTGCGGTTAGCTGATAAAAAAGTGCAGTAGTTACATTTACATTGCTTTTCAAATAAACAGGGAGGTCATGAAAAAATTATGACAATCCTTGACGAGATTTGTATAGCTGGCGTCAACTCAACGTCAGCCTCATACATTTTGTTTGGAAGTTGTTCACCCTGCCGTTTTCCTGTAATTACGGACAGTTTTTCCTTCAGGCAATGATATCCCTATGATTGCAGTTTCATTTCCTCGTGTGTCTACAGAGGCTGCGAGTATTAGTCGTAATTTAGCCCAATCGTCATACTAAACGTAATTGGAATGTGGAAATGTGTGCTGTGCAACCACGCTGCGTATTGACGATAGCGCTGCCGGGGCTAATTGAACAAAAATAGAACAACCAACAGCGCACTACACTCTCCGGGGTGGGATATTGGCACTGTTTATCGCCTGTGTTTGATGCCGGATTGCATTTGTCGTTTTTACGCCTTTTACCATCGCGTCGATGAGAATAGAACGTCATGACGGTTTTTAAGGCGGCGGGTGCATGTGTGCGTGGAAGATTTAACGGTTCATGAATTTCGTGACCTCTGCGGCCCCAGAGAAACTATTTCAAAATATGGATACATGTCGCAACACAGAAAATCAAGAGGGGATATGTTTGTGCATTATCTGTGATGATTTTCCAGTGACCTGTAACGGCGGAAATTTCTAATATAAACAAACGCAAACTTCATGATGTCATATCACTTCCGTAGGAAATTGTAACGTACCTTTTTGTTTGTATTGCGCGTTAAATTATGCATCGCGCTACGCGAGTAATTTTTGCTCTTCTTTCTTTCTTTCGGAATCCGCGGGTTCCTCGCGCAGTCAGAGCAACATCGTTTCTTCTCCGCTCGACCGCGAGCAATGGGGATTTCTCACGCTTCCCGGTTAGGTAGTTTTCATAAGGCCGCCGCCCCCTCCCCCCTAGCCCGCACCTTCCTCGCGCCGGCCGGCTGCTGCTCGCGCCGTCTCCGCCGCCTTATTCGCGGAATAAAATAACAACCCCGGCGTTTCCCGAGCAGCAAATTGGCAAATTTATTCGTCTTAGCTCGTCGGGCGCTCTCATGCGCTGGATCGTCCAAACAGAGCGGTAATTGATGGGGCAGGAGATGATGGAGGTCGGTTGCGTTCTCGGGGAGCGCGAGGTCGGGGCCGTGAGGGGTCTTGCGGAATCGTCTCCGCGCCCCCCCCCCCTCACGCTCCCTGCGATTAAACAGCGCGGAGCGGAGCGGGGGAGGGGGCTGCGCGGAGGGCTTTAAAAATAGAGCCGCCCCCTTGACGCAGCGTGCCGCCCCGGCGTTAAGGCGCCCGGCGGAGCGTGGAGGTGTGCGCGCCGGGGAAATATACGTTGCAGTTCCGATTCAGACACAGGTGAAGGCTCGGAGCCGGGCTACGTGGGCGTTTTTTAATGAGGCCGGGATTTGCAAACACCTTGAGCCTCCGGCCCGGATTAAGACCGCGAGGAGGGCGCGTTCGCAAAGCGTTGGGAGGGCGGAGAGCGCGGTGAAGAGGGCGCAAAGGGCGTCTTTCTTTGCCCCAGAGCGCAGCCGCTCGCCGATTGCGGCGTTCGCGGCTCATTCGGAACAAACACAGGCGGCGCGGCGCGCCGGAGGGCCCGCCCCGCCCAGACCACCTGCTAGCCCGCTCGCCGGGGCGCCGATGTCTCGCTTTCTGTTTTACGAGCTGCAAAAGAGTGACGCTCCGCTGCGTGAATAATCCGACGCAAATGTGCGGCGCGCATCTCCACATCGAGTTTTTAACGCTCCCTTAAAGTCCTCGCACGCCTCATTAAGAGCCGCAGCGGCCGCGGGAGCGCGCTGCAATCGACTCCTTTATGAAGCGAAACGGATCGCTCTTGTGTCCCCCCCCCGCGCTCCTCTCGCGCGCGACAGTTGCTCCTTTTCCCACAGGGTCGGTCGCTTTCGCAAGCCTTTATTCCGCCGCGAGACCTGAGCGGGAGAGACGCGCCTCGTTGTAAATGTATGCTTGTCCCGCGGGCGGTCATTTTTCCTCCTTCGCCGCCAACCACTGCGTTGGCTGTTGTTTCTCACGGCAGCCGCCGCCATTTTCGTTTCTGCGTGCGTTCGCGTGCGCGCGCTTCACTTGTTCCGCGTGGGGGCCCGCGGCG